ATAATAAAATATAATACTTAAACACGACTGTGTTGTTTATCGTTTGATGCTAGATTAATCTTAATTTCATTGATGTTATGAATTTGCTCGAATAAATATTGGAGAATTTTAGTAAACATATGACAAAAATTGAGACAATAATTTTACCGAACTTCAGTAATTATGTAGAATAAATTGTTGTTATGGTAGAAACATTTGGATAATGAAGTGCATGCAAACAAGGTCAGAAGTTTAATAATTAACCATTAATAAGTAACATAGCCAAATGGGAAAAGTTACAAAAATTATGAATTTAATATCTAATGTCTAGAGATGAAATTGAGGACTTTAGATATAAGTCGGGTGATACGAAAGTACTTGAGAAAGCACAAAGTCGTAATTTGGATTGGCATTGATGCGTCATCGTTAATTATGTGTTCCTAAAGGAAGGGATGGACAAATAGTTCAAAAGGATCAATTTCTGCTCATTGGCCGCTAGCGCTATTTATACTTGCTATCGCCTATGCATAGTTATATACATATATGTGTATATATATATATATATATATATATATATATATATATATATATATATTTATGCAACTACACACCCTTCACAAAGTGCCTAAGCGCATATTTAACATTTTGGCGACGTTCCAATTACTCGTTTCATATGCACACATACGCTACAAGCTGAGCGTTTATATATATATGTATATGTGTGTTAGCGTGTGTGCGTGTGTGCGTGTGTTCGTGTGTGCGTGTGTGCGTGTGTGCGTGTGTGCGTGCGCGCGTGTGTGCGTGCGCGCGTGTATGCATATGATTAACAGTGTGCGTGCGCGCGTGTATGCATATGATTAACAGTAGCAATTATTGGACTGTTATTAAAAAATGTACATGTCGTCTCGTTATTCGTATAGGCATTGCATAAATTTATTCAAGGGGAAGTCCACTATTAGTTAAAGATAGTGGATAAAATTGTTTGCATAAATGCATATAATCAAGAAAAGAAAAAAACAAGGTTGAGAAATGCTCCGATTTTTCAATATTAACAATATGAATAATTTTGTTTGTCAATACATCGCGGTAACATCTATATTCGTTTATTTTAAAAATAAAACAAAGACGCGTAGCTGTTGACTGAATTAAAAGTATGTACTGCTTACTTAGTTGACCATTGCAAATATCGAATAGACGTGACTTTTGCCGTAGTGAATTCACTAACAATAGATATTTCGTCCATGATATTTTCATAATATAGATTCAAGGTGTGTAATTGTTTCTATTATTCTTTCAAAATTTTTAAATACAATATTGAAATATTTCCCAACAGATTATAACGAAAAAATTGATTATCATATTATTGCATATATTTTGTAATAAAGAATAAAATATATAGAATTTTTTAATTTGCAATGTTAGTTTTTAACCAATATTTTAAGTTCATTTAAGTTCATCTAATTATGACAATTTAATTATTAATATTATCTTACATAGATTTAAACAACTAATTTTATTTTAGAGATAAACAGTATTATTATAATAAAGAGCCATATTTTTAATCATGCTTAGATAGATCGTAACTGGTGTAATGAGATTATTAACAAAAGTCTAATTAAAAATTTATAAGATTTAGATATTCAATTTCCGACGCCTTGCATTTCATATTTAAGTTTGCAATAATTAAAACAGTGAGTAGTTTAATTAATGTATAAGCATTGTTTTCATCCGTATACATCCTAATGTATTTAATCGTATTAAAAATTCCTAATGTTTTGAAAAATTATATATCATTATTATGCCAATTATATATTATTTTTCATATTGCGCGCATAATTAATTGTTAATAGATAATAGCGTATATGCTTATAAAGTTTACAAGCATAAACTGTTCTAGCATTCTTCGCATTCAATTTTTCCTTCTTCAAACGAATCTAATATTTATTATGTTTTAATCTCAGAATGCATAAATTTTATATTTAAATACAAATATTAATTTATCCTTATTAATAAACAAGTGATTAGATTAAAATCAGTATCATATTGCATCATTGAACCGAATTGAAATAATCGTTATTTCACAAATGTGATATAGTTTATAAATTTTTCGATTTAACCATAATACTTTATATAATTAACGCGAATTTTATTAAAATCCCTTATTTTGGCAAGTGCAAATTATTTCTTCGCAAAATAACTTCAAAAATTTGCGCACTTGAGCTCAACGTATCATTCAATGGGACAAAATATATTTCCCAAATTACATATTTTCAAAATTTTCTATAAGGCTGCTATCTATACTAGTCAGCGGTGGTTTTTATTCAATGGTCTTCCAAAACTAACAATATTTAAGTTACCAAGCTCCGTTAACAGTAAAAACGACGCTTTGTACAAATAATATAAAACTATATATATTTTAACGTTTATTTTATAATAAGTATAGAATATTATAACAAAATGTCGTACAAAGGACCACAGAAAGTACAAAAAGTAATGGTACAACCTATAAATCTTATTTTTCGATATCTACAAAATCGTTCGCGTGTACAAGTTTGGTTGTTTGAAAATATAAATCTACGCATAGAAGGTCACATTGTCGGATTCGATGAGTATATGAATTTGGTGCTAGATGATGCCGAGGAATATCATGTTAAAACGAAAAATAGAAAAACATTGGGACGTATAATGTTAAAAGGCGATAATATAACACTCATACAAAACACGAATCCTGGAGCGAATTAAACAGACTTTTTCAGATGTAATTTACAAAATCTAAAAATTACAGAAAACAACATTAATTGTCATATGTAGAGATAAAAGTAAATTTTTGTATTTATTTAGAAAACTGAAAATGTGATGAAAATGAAATATTTTCAATATTGTAAAAATAAAAAAAAAAATATTGTAATTAAGACTGTAGAATGTATAAACATTTAAATATAAGTAAACGAAAATGTATTAAATTACAACATATTGTTTTTTTGTGAATATTCTTGAAATAATACAACCTAATTTTTTAAACAATTTTGTATAAGAGTTTAAATTATTTTTATATTAATACATAATTTCCTATGATTTACTAGAGACAATATAAATTATCTAATTCGTACATGTTTTTACTCATTCGATACTAGTACAGACAATTTGTTAATTATTTTCAATTTCTGTGTTTACTTAAGATAGCAAGTTAAATTTTTTTTTTTTGATTAAATAATTCAATATTTACGTATGGCTGCTATATTAATTTCAAATTTGAATAGAAAATTTTATAACAATTACGAGAACTTATATAGTTTGCCTATTTAACAAATTCTTTCCAATTATTAAATCAATAATTAATAAAATAATAAAGTTAATAATCAATTAAAGTTACTTTTTATAAATCACTACGTTCGTTAATATAATTTAAAAGGAAATTCAAATGCAAAGTAAAATAGTTTTTTTATTATTTATTTTATATAATAAAACTTAAGTCTTCGCTTATTTTTTCTGCGCTGCTGCAGCCTCATCCTCGCGTTGGTACGATTGTAATAATTCTTGCTTTTTGGTAGCAATACGTTCTGCTCTGCGCTTACGAGCTTCACGAACCTTTGTCCTACGGGCCTCCGCTTGGTCAGATAACATTTCGGCTCTAGCTTTCTCCGCTTTCTTTTTATGGATGAATTCCATCAGAACTCTCTTGTTTTTGAACACATTACCTTTTGCTTTCATATATAATGAATGGTAGAGATGTCGGTCAATTTTTTTTGTTTCACGATATTTTTTAAGTAAACGACGAAGAACTCTCATACGTTGAATCCACAGATTCTAAAATAAAGACAAGTAATCAATATTTTATAAATAACATCGATAAGAGTTTATTTATTTATTTATTTATTTATTTCAATAAACGTTTACGCTAAAGACATTTAATTTTTATTTATTCAACAAATTAGATCAGTAACAAATAATTGATGTATTAAAATAAAACTTTTAAACGCTCAAGTATAATATATGAAACTGCACTAATCGATAACAAAGAGCAATCACTGACATATAATTAATTAAACTTACTTTTTGTGGAGTACGAGCATTCGCCGTACCTTTCCGTTTACCAAAACCACAATGACGACCCTTGCGTCTGGCTTCTGTATTTTTTCGTACTCTAGCTCTTGAATGAACAGCGACAGGCTTTTTGATGATTAAACCATCTTTGATTAATTTACGAATATTCTGACCTATGAATAAAAAGAATGCGACAATATTTGTTAACTATAGTTTTCATTCAAAATGAAATGTATAAGGATAAATTTTGAACTTACGAGAGTTGGTATTTGCAATTTCATTGATTTCATTAGGATCCAACCAAACCTTCTTTTTACCACATCGCATAACAGAGGCTGCTAGCCTCTTCTGTAATTTGAGCGAACTGAAACAAGTATAAGGTTAAAGCTACCATTGTATCATCAAATATAATGTACAACATTGAATTGATCATTAAATGAATAAGCAACTTTCAATATATTCCTTATGAAGGAATACATTTCTTGATAAAAAAATTTTTTAATAATTCATTACAAAAAATAATAATGATAATTTGGATTTTACCATGTGGCGATTTCTAACAAGATTAATTACCACACTTGAACAAGTTTATTACAAAATTTATAAATTCCATAAACTTCTGTTTATTCATTTTTTATGAGCATGAAATTTTATTCTCAATACTTTTATTAATAATAATAAAATATAGATATAAGTACCTCATGATGTCAAACTTGCAGTCCCTCTTACAAAAGAAACGTAAAATGTCCGACCATTAGTATCCTTGTTTTTCTACAACTATAATCAAATATTATCTAAATGGGTACGAAGACTAGTGAAATTCAATATTTGCAACATTTATTATTTTATGTCTTATAACGATAATCATGATAATATATAATAAAAATAAATTAAATGAATTATTAGCTTCATTTGATTTACATTTTAACTCTAAAATTGCGGTAAATTTAAAAATTAAAAATAATCGCTAATTCAAATGCGTAAGATATATCAAGAATTCAAAAATTTTTATGAATCGACAAAATTAGGATTAATTTTAATAATTACGTGACATTTTGATTAGATATTGCATTTTAAAAATTAAATATTGAATTTATTCTAAATTATTTCCAATTCATATTATATATTTTTAATATACAGTATTAAATAAATGAAAACTTTATTCCTGTTTTATATAATGAATTTCTTTGAATTTTATATAAAAATACACGCAAATAACCATTTAAATATAGAATTGATTAAAAAAACTATATGACGACGTATTTAATGTATCGTGCAATATTATCAGAAATTCTTATCTTTTGGCTACGCATAGATTCGCAAATTTCCATTCGTAAGCTACCGTTTGACATCAAATAAAATTAAACTATCTCATAACACAATTATAAATATCAAAATGAACGATTAGCGAATGATCGTGATTTTTAATTATCACAAAATTTAAAATAAAAAAAAAAAAAAAAAACACACACACAACACAACAATTTGAACGAAATTTATCAGTTTTTATTTTAAAAAATGTAAGGGTAGAAAGATAATTATGGAAAAATTAATGAAATATTTTTGAGTTTTGATATATTAAAAAAAAAATTATTCTATTAAAACTTATAATATGAACATTATATTTATGAATTATATAAGATTTATAATATAATTCAATTTCTCTCTCTCTCTCTCTCTCTCTCTCTACGTTATAAGCATTACATTATATATTTATTATTACAGACTAGCTTGCCGGTAAAATTCTACAATCCCGCCTAGAAATCTAGAAATCTTTGACTTCCTTTCTTACGTAATGCATATTTTCTAAAACTTGTCTGTTTAAAGTTGAATACTTTTGTCTATTACAAATATACATTTATGCATATATTTGGATATAAATTATATTAAAAATTTCAAATCAATGATAAGTTATATCTCGATATTTTATATAAAATTGTCAAATTAATATTTATTGAAAATAAATTTTTATAACTCACTTATAGTATTAACGTTTTATACTATAAGTATAATAAATATTTTTGATGTCGACTCTATGTGAAATCATTTTCTCATAGGCACTCCACTTAACATTACCTAGAATTGAAAAATTTATAGTCAAATCGTACTAGAACGGTAATATATTGAGTAGTTGGTATTTATCTTAAAAGATAAAATATAAAATATAAAATGATGCAGAGAGTAACAAGATTTTTTTATAGAAATATGGCTTCTATGAGGTAAAAATTTGAGTAACTTAATTTAAATAGCAAATAGTTTTGGTTGGCTTCCTATCATCCCCTTTATCTTACAAAATGGCTTTCGCATTAATTTTGCCTTTAGTTTGATTAGTCGGTTGCCGAACTCTATTTTGGTACTCGATTCATCGAGTTGAGTTTATTTTTTGTAACACTAGCGAACTATATTTTTAGTCGTACCACATTCCAACATTCGTCAATTAACTTATATATGATTCGTTGCTTTCTTACATTATTTTTAAACATTGCGATACTTCCTTTATTTACGTACGATATAGCAATTGTTATAAATTAAGTTATGATATATCTGTTTCAGCGAAATCAAAATGTTGTCTCAGCAAGGTGCCGGAGCTGGTAAAGGTGGAGGTAGAGATGGAGCTATTCGCGAAGCTGGTGGAGCTTTTGGTAAAATGGAAGCTGCTCATGAAGATCAATATTTTTACAATTTGGTAATAATAGGTTCATTCAAATTTTTATATCAATAAAATTAAAATCTGGACTTGCAAATTTATCATCAATGCTCTCTTCTTCTATTATTCGTATTACGTAATCATATATTTTTTAGCAAAAAGAACAAATTGCAAAATTGAAAACCGACTTAACCGATGAAATATCATTTCATAAAGAACAAATTAAACGCCATGAAGATGCTATTAAACGACACAGCCAGAAAATCAATGATATGGATAAGCTTTAATAGATTTTTTATCTACATTGTATTATACACGTTTGTTACCTTTTACAGGATAGAAGGAAAGCAAGTACAAATGTGAAGTATATAAATTTTTGTATTTTTAAGTATCAATTGCTATTATTAGAAAGAAAATAAATTAAAATTTAATTTCAATCGTACTAAATATTAATTATAATTGTTATTGTATGTAATTTCAAAGACTACATTTATAAGCACTTGTATAAAAGTTTCAAATAAAAGTACCATTAATTTAAAGAGAAGTTGTAGTTTTTAAATTCTTTTGTTTTCTAATGTAAATAAAGCATAAAATTGTTTCAGTTGATATATCGATTAATAGTATTTATAAATTTAAAGTTTTATTAATCGTTAAGTTTATAACGTTACAAGCGCAAGATAATGTATCGGGTTGAGCAAAGTCTTTTGAAAAATAGTAATGCGTAAGGAAAATTGGTTATATTTGAAAATTGCTCTTCAATCTCCTTAATCTTTCATTGCGTTTTAATTATAGTTTAATTTCTCACTGTATTAAAAGAAATTTGAAAAAAAATTCAGATTATGGAAAATATAAAGTTTATGAAAACGAACACTTTTACAAACATGTAAGATATTTATTTAAATTGATTGATACTTGATGAATTCATTTAATAGCTAATATTTTCTTTAATAGAATGAAAATCATTTCAATTTAATTAAGAAAAAAACCCTCGAAGAAGTAAAGTCGATGCAACAAGAAATATCTGTAATGCATAGAAAAATAGAAGAATATAATCGTGATATAAAAGAAAATTTACAATATTTGAAAAAGATTGAAAATGAAATTGAATTTAAGGATAATGAAAAGAGTAGTAAATAATTCAATTATAATTATAATTTAAAAATTTTATTTGTATCATACTGTATAATTTTCAATATTACATGGACATAGATCGCAAAAATTTCTGCAACGACGTTTCGAGCTTTTAGATACTCTTTGATATTGTGACAGAAAAGAAAATATATAAGACAGAGTAACGACGAATGAATCTGTTATTTAGATTTTATTAAAACGAATATATATATATATTTACTATAACTAAATTAAATTATTTAAAACAAACGAAACGAATATACAGTCGCCTTACAGATATTCTTCACCTAATTATCCATTTCAATCGGACATAATTCTTTAATGTCTACTTTAAATCTTAATGGTGATAATTAATGGTGAACAATTGGTATAACGAATAATAAAATATTTAATAAGATGTCCAGATCATTTAATACATCCAATTTTACATTTTAAATAGTACATACTTATTTTTCATTATAATATAACACATTTAGCCGAAATTTACAAGCTTCTTCGATTATCGATATGAAAGTACATTATAAAAAATGGATTTACTTAACTTTCCAAATTCCACAATGATAGATCCTAATTGTTTAATTATTCAAAATATATCATTTTAGCGGAATATTCATAAAAATAAAAAGGTAAAAAATATGGTTTTTCTAATCAGGCGAGATCACTTGGCCATTAAACAATAATACACGAGCGATGGGAAAAAGAGGGAACACCATCACCGATGGTAAACGTAGTAAACACCATAATTATTTATTATTTCTTATGTACTCTTTCAATTCATGATGCAGATCGCGACTTTATCATTATTCAACGCACACACTCAATGAAAGCATTTGTAGGCTGAACAATGACGGACGTGATACTAGCCGAGCATCCTTAACGTTCTTACGGTCACTAATAGCCGTGGAACCGAGGACCATGAAAGGCTGCTGGAGCAGTGAAGTAGACAAATGAAATCCCGAGTATAGTAAAATCTCTTTTATTAGCCACCAATGTTATCGACCATCGTCGAAACTTGGAGTAGTTGAAGAAAATAATGGGGGAGCGTGGCGCGCACTGGCGACGGCGGCGGTAACCTACGAACGTCGCGCCCTCGTTCCCTATTCGGAAACTTCTCTGTTGCTCGATGCCTGCGGCACGAACGTTACGTGCTCGCATTGATCAGCGCTCCAGCGTATGTGTTCACGCACACGCGGGCGCCCACGCACGCGTACGTACATTTATAGGCGGCTAAGTGTGCGCATGAATTGGAGTAACAGCAAGAACGTGAGTCTCTGACATTGCCGTGGGAGTGCGTTCAGCCTCCTCAGCAAGAAGCGACCGATTGCGCTCGCGCTGTCCTCCCTTCTCGGCCCGAGGGAGGTTGCGCGACGACTTTTCCTTGCTACATTGAGGTAACACAAGGGCGCTACCTCGAATCCGTTTACAGTCGTCCGTCTACGCGACTGTCTTAACATTTCGTTGAGCGGTAAGCCGATATAGTGCGCGTGTGCGTCGTGTTTGTGTGCGCGAGGGCGAAGCGTTTTTTCGCCATCCGCGACCGCTCCCTCCTTCGAGCGGGCTCGACGGCCCGGACGAGGACGGACAACGAGACGGTGCGGGCAGAGTGAGTTTATGGAAACAAAAAGGAAGGTGGATTAATATAGGGAGAGGAAGAGGGAGAGAGGGAGAGAGATAGAGCGAGAGAGAGAGAGAGAGAGAGCGAGGAAGTGTCATTTGGGCAATTAGCCCTAACCGAGGATTTCTTTCTTCTATCGAGGAGCCACGATTAACGCGAGGAGAGCACTCGGCCAAAATGCAACTCAGGATATACTGCTGGGCCTTTTTGGCTACCATTGCTTTCAGCTTAGTTAGGTGCAGCCTCGCTAATGAGGTGAGTTTAAATTGTTTATTATCTCTTTCGCTCGGAACTCACGAGAGCTCCGCGCTCCTTTCTCGTCCCTATTAAGCTCTTTCTTTCTTTCCCCCCCCCCCCCCCCTATCGTCCGTTCTTATATTTCATCTCTCTTAGCCGCTCTGTCCGCAACGAGCAAATCCAACCAACTCACATTTGTTTTCGAATGGGTTAAAACAATCGTCTGGTCAATGTTGTTTACATCTGGCCCTCCTCAAACAACTACATTAGAAATGGCAGGTTAGGTTCTAAATTAAATATACGTCCCAGCACTTAGAACAGCTACGATTTTAATTATAGCCTCTCATTTCTACCTTCGCATACTATTTATGTACATTATGTTAGCGCTCCGTACGAATAAATGGCTTTTTCGTAATGGGCGGGAGGGGGGGGGAGATGCATCGACATGTTGACATTTAAAATGTTGGCTTTTAAATTTCCTTCGACCAATTAACCAACAATATAGCTCTTGGGAACGGCAATTCTATTCATTGACATTCCTGCACATTCAACCTGACTAACCTCAAAGTCGGATGTCGGAATTGGGCGCAACGAC